AGAAGTGACTCTGGCACAGAATTCACAGCCAACCCTAAATAATGCTGGCATAGGGAGGGGAAGGAGGCATCCTTCAGTGTTCAAAGTCCTCATGAGGGATGTAGCTAGACCTCTGTGTCACTCCTAAAGCCCAAAGCACCTTTGCAAGAAATAGGTACAGTTCTTGTCTGGTAAAATGCAAAAACTGCTTTCTGAATTTATTTAATAAAGCAATACCATAGAGGAGAAGAACCTCAAGAAAATGTGGGGCTAGGCACAGTGCCTATAATCCTAGCACTCAGGGAAGACTGCCTGAGCTCAAGAGTTTGAGAACACGCTAAGAGACCCTATCTTTACTAAAAAAATAGAAAAATTAGCTGAGTGTGGTGGCATGAGCCTGTAGTCCCAGCTACTTGGGAGGCTGAGGCAGGAGGATTACTTAAGCACAGGAGTTTGAGGTTGCAGTGAGCTAGGATAACACCACTGTATTCTACCAGGGGTGATAGAATAAGACTCTGTCAAAACAAAACAAAACAAAAGAGAAGAGAAGATAGAGGAAAAGAAAGAAAAGAAAAAAGAGAAAGAAGAAAAAAGAAAAGAAAAAAAAAGAGGCCAGGTGCCGTGGCTCATGCCTGTAATCTCAGCACTTGGGAGGCCAAGGTGGTGGACTGCCTGAGCTCACAGGTTTGAGACCAGCCTGAGCTAGAGCGAGACCTCATCTCTAAAAATAGCCAGACATTGTTGCAGGTGCCTGTAGTCCCAGCTACCTGGGATGCCAAGGCAAGAGAATTGCTTAAGCCCAGGAGTTAGAAGTTGCTGTGAGCTATGACGCCATAGCACTCTACCAAGGGTGACAAAGTGAGACCCTGTCTCAAAAAAAAGAAAAGAAAAGAGAAGAAAGAGAAGAAAAAGAAGAAAAGGGAAAACACTGGATCACCACATTTACCACGAGGGCTTTACCAGGGCTAGCTGCCTGTTTTGGGATATTAGGCATAAACTTTAATTCTGAGAGTTGCAACGTAGGCTACCGAGGGCTGTCTCAAGAGAGTCCTGTTGCTGTCACTTCCTGGTACATAAGACAAAAGGAGTAATTATCAAGGTTCTGATGGGTTATCCACTTTGGGAATCTCTAAGCCACACTGTCCATGGCAAAAGCAGACAGCCTAGCTTACGTTGATAGTGGAAGGTGACTGTGTGGGCTCCATCATTATCCATAACAGGAATGACTCAAACCCCAGCAAAAAATCTCTTAGGGATTTATTGAGTTATATCAATTAAAAATAAAGAAAAAAGCATACTAGACAGGGCCTCTAAATTTAACATACACTTGGCCACAAAACCTTATGCAAATTCCACACAGCTAGTAGCCCTTACAGCATCAGATTCTAAGTCATTCTCCAGGAAAAAAAAATTTCATTCTGAAACATAGCTTATTAGGAAACTCCATCAGAATTATATAAATAAAAGGTTAAAAAAGTTTTAAATACAAGCTAAATTACCTTCTTCTGGGATTAACAATTGGAACCCCAAATATCTCAACATGTTAACTAGAAAGCCCTTCACAGTAATTTTATAAAATTGTAAATGATGCCAATTTTTGAAAACAGAGTTGTCTATCTTTAGGATGAATGCCCGAGTTAGATAATAGGCTCCCTAAATATGAATATGTCCAAGTGGAATTCCTTAAAGAGAGAAATAAAAAATTTTCTTTGAGACAGAGTCTCATTACGTCACCCTCAGTAAAGTGCCATGCTGTCACAGCTCACAGCAACCTCAAACTCTTGGGTTTAAGTGATTCTCTCGCCTCAGCCTCCCAAGGAGCTGGGACTACAGGCGCCCGCTACAATGCCCGGCTATGCTTCTTCTTTCTTTAGAGTTTAAAAATTGATGGATTCAATGGCAAAGCTAGGCAACAACTCTGTAGTGAAAGAAAGGACAGGGCTCCCTTTTGGTATAACCTCTTGCCAGCATACTGCCATTAGCAGGTAGGGGCAACTGAAAACAAATGGCAGGAGTTGCCCAGCCTCTGAAATATTTGTTCAGATCAAGTGGTGGCAACCCTCCTGACTGGCTCCTTCTAAATGGATAGCAATTCATCATGCAAACTGCACAGAGGTTAAACATACCCAAACTGACCAAAACAAATTAAAAAACAAAACCTCCAACCCAGAAAACCTTTCCTGGATTTCTACTACAGATACATGTGCCAAACCCAGATTTTCTGCTCTAATGTGGGTCCCACTGACCTAACAGTCTGTTGGGGCACTGACTTACTAGATCCCGGGCAGGGAAGGCTTTTTACTAAGCATCACTGTGAGTGTGGAGACAGCTATAATGGGTGCAGCTTTCAGCAGACAATACAATGTCACTGGACCATAGAGGTCCATCTCATCTGTCTCCATTTTCCACTGTAAAACCAAAGGCTGCAATTGGGAAAATATATAGACTTTCTCAAAGGACAAATGAGGAGACTGAAGGCTATAACATTTCTTCCTTAGAGAAAGATTGGAAGAGGTGTCTACAGTTACACAACAAATTTCTGCAGACTTTATGGTAACATCCAAAAGCAATAGTAGCAGCAGAAGAGGAAAGAAGGATGTTTACACTTTGGACTTTGTATCAGGCACTTAAATTGTTGGAGAGACATGCCATTCTGAACCAAAGATGTGAAAACTGGGTTGGAGTAATCATCACAAGTAGTCTAATAATGGGCTTTCAGAAGCAAAGTGGAGGTGTGAGTTGAACCTCTGTCCATTCTTAATGCTGACTTTCAAGTTTTCTAAATGCCCATAACCACAGCAATAGTAGCAGCAGTGGCAACATCAGGAATAGTTCTGTCGTGTCTGTTTTCTGTGTTATGTTCTGTGGCTGACTGGAACATTTTGGTGTCACACTGAGAAGGCTCTAGGGTGTGGCACACCTACTGCCCAGGGTCGATCAGATCCATGCTGGAGCCAAACATCTTCACCAGCTGTTCCTCATAGTGTGAGATATTCCTCTTCATGATATCCATGCAGGGCCCCAGAAGCCTTTCGAATGCTTGTACATCCATAACTGCATTATTAAAAAGAGGTGAGAATGAATTATTTAAAAATTCAGATCAAGGCGGTGCCTGTGACTGAGTGGGTAGGGTGCCAGCCCCATATACTGAGGGTGGTGGGTTCAAACTCGGCCCTGGCCAAATTCCAACAAAAAAATAGCCAGGCATTATGGCTGGGGCCTGTAGTCCCAGCTACTCGGGAGGCTGAGGCAAGAGAATTGCCCTAAGCCTAGGAGTTGGAGGTTGCTGTGAGCTGTGTGATGCCACAGCATTCTACTGAGGGCAATAAAGTGAGACTCTGTCTCTACAAAAGAAAAAAGAAAAAAAGAAAATTCAGATCATTTCCATCATGCAAACCTTTTCCTAAATATACCCATTCATGTAAGAGATTAGACTTTGGGATGCTGACAACCTGGAAAGAGGTGTTTCTATATGAACTCAGTAGAAGTGAGGCACAGGAAAAAAAAGAAGTGGGGCACATAAGTTTAAGACTTTGTAGAGTCCAGCAGCACCTGGTTTCCCTGTGCCCCCAGAGACATCTGATTCCATTACTGTTCTTTTCCTATAACCAGAGGCCCTATATGACTGTGTTGATTATAGGCTCAGAAATGCTCAGTCAGTGCTCAGAAATGTTTGCTAAAAGAATACATTCACTGGCTCAGCGCCCATAGCTCAGTAGTCAGGGTACCAGCCATATTCACTGGGGCTGGCGGATTTGAACCTGGCCCGGGCCTGCTAAAACAATAACAACAACAACAAAATAGGCGGGTGTTGTGGTAGACACCTGTAGTCCCAGCTACTTGGGAGGTTGAGGCAAGAGAATTGCTTAAGCCCAAGAGTTTGAAGTTGCTGTGAGCAGTGACGCTATAGCACTCTACTGTGGGCAACATAGGAAGACTGTCTCAAAAAAAAAGAATACATTCACCCATCTATGGTTGGTCACATATAAAGTCCAGGCTGAGATATGAGTGCAAGCTGATGGAGCAAGTCAAGGCTTTGTTGACGGGAAAAATATAATACTGCAAGTTTGGGAAAAAAAAGTATTAATGCATAAATAATTTTTCTTACCTAAGCATTTGACATCTCCAATTGCATAAGCAGAAGCAGCTCTGGGTTTATTTGTCACCAGTGCAAGCTCTCCAAAGTACTGTCCCTTATGACAGCGGGCAATCTCAACTTCTAGGTTCCCACCGTCCTTGTTTGTTTTAGTCTACAGTAGATAAAGAAGATGACCTGGGTTGACTTCAAGATCACAGCTGGGCATGTCCATTTGCTTACTTTTGTATTCCCTTCTCAGTATACCCAACAGGAATTCACTTTACAAAAACTTTAAATGTACCATGTAAACTCTATAGACTAATCTCAGTGGACTTGCTTAATCAGAGGAGCAGGAGTTGGCTTTTACCAGGAACACTATCTAAGTCCTAACATCTTTCAAGTAATGGCTAAGTATCAAGAGGTAAGGTGCAGACTTTTTTTTTTGAGACAGTCTCCGTTGCCTTGGGTAGAGTGCCATGGCATCAGAGCTTACAGCAACCTCAAATTCTTGGGCTCAAGTGATCCTCTTGCCTCAGCCTCTTGAGTAGCTGGGATTACAGGGTACAGACTATTTTCTGTGGAAGATTATATATTCTCCTTCTGGGAGATGCTGACTTTTCAGGCACAGTGGAAAAGAGAAAGTCCTTTGCTAATTCTTCTAAATTATGACAATGCTCATCTTAGGTAATAAACCACAACCCTGGGCTATTCTTCCTAATTTGAGATTGTACCTTTCTTGGACAACACTTAATAGTGACAAAATTTCTTTTTAAGTATTATCTGTACCTTAAGTTAGTGGTTCCCCTCGCCCCTGCCTATTTTTTTTAGAAGAAAAGTTAAGTAACTAAAGTTTTAAAATAATATACATTGTAGTTTTGTATTTAGTATCTAGAGTTTCTTTTTGTTAAACAAATCCATCTTCTAAATAATAATTTAAGTAAAAATTATTTAGAATTTATTAGTAAGAATTAGAATTAGTTGGCTGGGCGCCTGTGGCTCAAGTGGCTAAGGCGCCAGC